TCTTGGGCTGTCTCCAGTCCCCTTAACAGCCATTCGTTGTCCACCTGTGTCTGACATACTATCTTTTCAACAATTAGGTGAAACCTTTGGAATGTATTAATGCTGTCACCGCCAGGCGTGACTTCATCCTTCATCCTCATGGGCGTTGAGGCTGCTCCTCTGCTTGCCCTGAGCTGAGCCCACTTTTCCTCCTGCCCTGGGCTGAGGCCACTCTTCCGTTCACTGGGTGCTGAGGCAGTAGCAGCTCTTCTGTTCGCCTGGTGCTGAGGCAGCTCTTCTGCTCTCCCTGTGCTGCCTCCTGTCATCGCCGCTTCTGCCCAGTCCCAGACCCCAGGGCTGGTGAGGAGACTGTGTCACCAGAGCTGCATTCAGACACAGGAGACCAGGTTCAGTGACACAGATCTGCTTTATTGCAGGAAGGCACAAGCTTATATAGGGGTAGTGGTCCAATCACAGCACAGCAAGTAGGATACCTTATTAGCATAACAGGTTTATCGTCCTATCACAGTACAGCAAGTAGGATACCTTATTAGCATAACAGTCTTAGCATCCTATTAGCATAACAGACTTAACATCCTATCACAGAATAGTGGGCAGCATGCTTCATTAGCATACTGGGTTTCAGATTACAGAGCCTGGATTCCTGGAAACCATGTGACCCTGACTGTTGCAATATCTAAGTGTTGCAATTTTGGATTCCAAGGGTGATGATTGGGGAGTGGAGAACTCTAGGCATCAGTCTCATGATCTGCCAATGGGAACAAATGTCACAAGACATTCCTTGTGGCTCCAGCGGTCAGGCCATTGCCTCGGGCCTGCTGTATGGCTGTCATTAAGACTTTCACCCTAGGCTCAAGCCTGTCTTCCACATATTAACTTAGACCAATAACTTCTACCAACCCAAACGCTAAGAATCCCATCAAATAACACTTGAAACTAGCAGTTTTCCCAGCTCTTCTGCAGCCTGCCGAATTCATACCTTCAACAGTGTATTAGATGATTGCCTTGACTTAGGTATTTCTTTTGTTCTGTGGCTATAAAAGTTCATGTAACCACTTCCATTTTAGACTGTGTCATTTGGAGCAACAAGAATCTGTGTTCCTGGACTATGGATGCTCCTATTTGCTTCAGAATAAACTACTTTGTTGTTGTTGTTTTTTAAACTGTGTTTTTCATTTGACATGTGTGACTAATGGTTAAAAAAAATATTTTCAAGAATAAAACTACTTGCCAGCCTGGTCTATATAGTGAGTTCCAGGCTAGCTGGGGCTACAGGGAGACCCTGCCTTAAGAACAAAAAAAAAAGGGGGGGGGGCGGGGAATAAAACTACTCTAATTGGGATATATCTCTATGGAATTACTGGCACAATGACTATCTTATTTGTGCATGTAGATACTGCCACCTGTCCTGCATTAACCATGAGGGACACACTGACCAATAACTTATTCTTAGAAGTAAAAAGATTCCACCTATAAATTTTTCAAAGTAGATTAGGAACATATAGGCACATGACCATATTTAAGCCATATCAGAAAGACTAGGACCAGGAGCTTATCAAACACACCAGATCAATTATGGGTGCAACACTCTTACTTGAATCCCTTAAAAAGGACTCCCAACACTCCCACTGGCTTGTCATCCAACCATCAGGTGCTTGCTTCAAGGGAGCAACAGAACTCCCAACTGCTCTTAAAGCTTCACTTCAACATGGTGCCCCACTGCTTGATGATGTCCACTCAAATGGCCATTGGTCAACCATCTGACCTCTAAGGTCCTGCACCTCTGCAGTTCAGCAAGACCCTGTGGTTGGGCTGTGTGAGCCTCCAGCAACTCTCCAGCTGGGTTCATTAATATTTTATGTCACCACTGTCTTCACATCTGTATCAAGTCTCTGCTGTTGCCTCCAGTAAGACATATTTGAACTCTAAATTCTCTTTAACCCTTTTGTAGTCATTCTGTAATCTACGTATACATTGATTGTGTGAAATGCTGTATGATTTGAGTTAATATTGTAATTAAAATTATAATAATAGGGCAAAAGCACTTGTTGCACAAGGAAGGCGAGGACTCCCAAAACTTGTCCTCTGACCACATGCACACTTTTCCATGCACACACATACACACACAGACACACAGACACAGAGATAGCAATAAATGAACCTATTGGCAATGGCCAGCCATCAAGGGAAATAGGTACTATTTGGTAAATTTCAGCCAGTGAAACCAATAAAACTTTTGAATGTATTGTTATTCAATAAATCCTGGCATTGTAAAAAGATACAAACTTGGGGCTGGAGAGATGGCTCAGTGGTTAAGAATACTGTTTTTACAGAGGACCTGGTTCGATTCCCACCACCCACATGGTGGCTAACTCCAGTTCCAGGGGATCCGACATTCTCATCTGACCTCCATGAACATTGCATAACACAGGTGTACTTAACATACAGGCAGACAATACACTCATATACATAAAATAAAAATATTAAATAGAAAGATACAACTTGTCTGTTTCTGATTCTGACAGTGTGCTTACAACAGTCATTATCGTATTTTAATTATTTTGATATAGTTAAAAGAGAAAACAATTTCAAATGTGAATACTTATGCTAGAAACTTAACCCATTAAAGTCAAGCAAAATTTTGAATGTCAACACAAAAACTTGTGAAGGTATATATAGCTGATTATTATACTTTAAAGCAGTATCTGTGGAAAAAAGTCTTGATGAACACAGAAAGAGGAGGCAGACATCTAGTTGTCTCTGGCTTTTTGTGGCAGTGGGATTTGAACATGATAAACAAGTGCTCTATCACTGAGCTAGTGTGTGGTTTGTAGACAGTCTCCACTTCTGAAACACTGTGCCCTGTCCATATATGGATACTCAAAGATCAGAGGTCCTCAGCCTACAAGCCAGTTTAGGGCTAAAAAGACCAGAGGGGTTCAGTGGTAGAACACTTGCCTACCAGGTACATAGGCCTAGGTTTGAGTCCCGACATTGGGGAGGGGAAGGGTCCAGATGTCCCGGGAGATTGGCGTCTACAGTTACTGTTAGTAGCTACTTTGTGCAGTTCAATTCTTATTTACTGTTGATTTGGATCATCATTTTGATAGGAAATGTTTTTAAAAGAGATGATTAAAACGAACTTTTGAAACACAAAGGACAGTCTGAAATATTTATATTCAGAATGTTAAAAAGTACTTCTGGGGCTGGAGAGATGGCTCAGCAGTTAAGAGCATTTGCTGTTCTTGCACAGGACCAGGGTTGGGTTCCCAGCACCCACATGGCAGCTCACAACTCCAGTCCAGGTGATCTGATGCTTTTTTTCTGGCCTCCAAAGGCACAGCAAGCAGGTGGTGCACTTAACATACATGCAAGCAAGACACTCAAACACATAAAATCATTTTTAAGAATCGTTTTAAGGGGACTGGAGAGATGGGTCAGTGGTTAAGAGCACTGGCTGTTCTTGCAGAGGGCCCGGGTTCAATTGTCAGCACTCACATGGTGGTTAGCCCCCAACTCTAGTTCCAGGGGAATATGATGCCTCTCTGACCTCCGTGGGCACTCATAACATGGGTGCACTCACACACATGTAGGCAATACACTCATACACTAAAAATAACATGTTTTAAAAAGTACAACTTTTGCTGGGTGTAGTGATACATACCTATAATCCCAGCTACTTGGAAACGGAGGCTAGAGGATCATATGTTTGAAGCCAGCCTGGGTAACATAGACTCTGTCTGAAAATGAGGGGGTGGTGGTGGTGGAGATTTCTATCAAAAGAAATACTCTGTAGCAATGTTTGTTATAAATACCGAAGATTTGGCATTTTCAACAGGTATATTTCAAGCTTAGGTAAGTCATGCATCAAAGGATCTCTAAAATGCAATCTGGAATGATTTCTCTTGCCAAATTGCTAACACTGTGTTATTAAAGCTATAAAATCTATAAATATCTTCAGGATACTTTCACTAAATGTAATGCCAATAAGTAGCAGGCCTTTCCTTACATTAACCCATATCAAAACTTCTGAGTCAGATAAAATAGTCTTAAGGTACGTTTGTGTTCAGAGCAACTAATGTGAAATGCCAAAATACACTACAACTACTGATTTTCTCAGTGCTGTTTTTCATAAAACATCTAATGTCCTACAGGCAGCTCTACGTGGTATTACTTTCAATGATTTATTTATTTGATTTTGAGTTGGGGTCTCAGGCGGTCTAGGCTGGCTTGGAATTTGAAACGTTGGCGAGGATGATATTAAACTCCTGATCCTCCGGCCTCCACCTTCTGACTGCTGAGATACAAGTGTATGACACCCAGGATAGGTTTATGTGGTGTTTCCGGGCTTCGTGTATGCTAGGCAAGCACTCTACCAACGAAGCTACATGCTCAGCCTCCAACCTAACCTTTTTACATAGACTGAAATGGAGCTTGGAAAATTCAAGGAGTTCAGCGAAAATCAGAGTTCAGAGCCCAGAGTCCTACCCATCACTGAAGCGTCAACGTGCTCAAAGGAAAGTGTCATAAAGAACTACATGTGCCAGAATGCTTCTGAGAAACAAGGAGCATCTAACGGTGCTTACATCTTCAGCCATCCCCGTCCTGGTTAGGTTAGCTTAGGTCCTGAGTTTCACTCAAGGTAGGAGTGATTCTAACACTAGCTCCGACAGGGTTTTGTGAAAGCACATTGTTGTACCCTGAGCGGTCTGACTCAGTAGGTCTAGGGTGGGAATGGAAAATCTTTCTAAAGAGCTCCCTGCCGGCCAAACTGCTGGGCCCCGCACTGCTAGAGGTTTTCATCTTCAATCTACGGGAAAGCCTGTCTGTAGGGCCAGCGCAGCGTTCTCGGCAGGATGCTCCCGATCTACTCGCAGGCGCGGCCAACTCGGTTATCCATTGCTCTCTCCCCGCCGGCCGGCACGCCCCCCACCTCCCCACCCCCCGGCCCATTCGCCCTTAGGACCCGAAGGGCCAGCACCGCCTCCCGGGCGGGCCAGGCCGCGGCGTCGCTGCCTGAGCGTAAGATAGAGACGTGGCTGAGGACTGAAGCATGCTGGACTTCGCGATCTTCGCCGTGACTTTCCTGCTGGCGCTAGTGGGAGCCGTGCTGTACCTCTACCCGGTAACCGCCGACTGAACCGTAGGGGGCTCAGCGGCCCCGCGCCCACCCGAGGAGGGCCCGAGGGGCGACCCCGGGGCCTGCGAGCCCTGTGCGCATGAGCGCGCCTCGCGGTTGGGCCGGGCTTGCGGAGCTGAGTCCTGGTCTGTCTGCTCCTGCATTCGGCCCTCAGAGCAGCTTTCCCGAGTGTACTCTGAAGTTCTTGTGGCTTTGAGTGCATTGACTCCCACCAAAGCCAAACTCCTTCGGCTACCTCCTCAGGGGAGAAACTGTTTCCCGAGCTGCCCGCAGCGTCTTCGGTCCCGGCATCATTGCTGGAAAGTCGGGGACGGGTACCCTCGCGCGCCTCCCGGAGGGCTGATGGGTGGAGGCCTAGCGTGCTGCGCTACCTTCTAGGGCGTGAGCCAGGCAAGGCAGGTGAACCTCCAAGTCTCCCATCCTTTATCAACCTGCCTTTTTCCGAGGGGTTGACGAAGGAGGGAGGAGTCATCCTTAAACAGCGGAGTTCTAGGCTAGCCTGGGCCACATGATACCCTGTCTCAAATTTTTTATTTTATGTACTAGAAAAGATGGGATTTCGTTGGTAATGTGCAGAAAAATGTTTTGAATTCGTTTTTTGCATAAATGCAAACTTTGGGGCTCAAGGAATTTTCAGATAAAAGAAAATTAAATTTTAATTTAGAAGCTGGGTATGTCTCTTTCCTAGCCGCTCAGGAAGATCTTGAGTTTGAAGCTACCCTGAGCAATGTGGTGAGACCTCACTTCCCCCAAAAAAAAAAGTTCCTCTAATTTTATTAGGTAAATTTTATGAGAATCATTCTGGCTCCTGTGTTAGGAATAGACCATAACCGGGCTGGAGAGATGGCTCAGCGGTTAAGAACATTGGTTGTTCTTGCAGTAGACCCAGGTTCGAATCCCAGCACCCACATGGCAGCTAACAACTGTCCGTAACTCCAGTCCCAGGGGATCTGACAGCCTCTTCTGTCCTCTGTGGGCATTGCACGACATGGGTGCACTTATCTTCATGCAGGCAATACACGCATACACATAAAAATAATGCATAAAATTAAAAAAAAAAGAAACCGTAATTACGGGGCTAGGACAGTGGAAACAGATAAGTAGTTGGGGAGATATTACAGTCATTTTGATTAGAGATGGTGTCGTTTGGACCAGAGGTATAGTGGCACAGTGGTGAGACCTACTCCACTGTGAAGATAGTGCTGTTGGATATAAAATGTGAGCCTATTAGGCAGCAAGAGAAACACCAGTTTTTTTCAGCCTGGTAGCTGGAAGAATGTGTTGACCCCAGGTAAAAGTAGAGGTGTTGTTTGGTTTTATTTTGGTGGGAGTTACTGGGGATTCATAGAGATTAGAAGTTTGGTTTGGCTGTGCAAGCTTGAGATGCTCATCACATATCCAAGTGGAGATGTGGAGACGTTAATCAGATCTGCAGATGAATTTACGGGAGAGGACTAAAGATAGAATTTGGGAGCTGACAGAGTATGGATGGTATTTAAAGCAAGAAAATTTGTTCCAATCTCCTGAGTAATTTAGGCACAGGAGAGACAATGTCCCAGACCAAGCTCCAAATTCTCTTTGTGTGGAGGTTGAGGTGTTGAAGAGAAGTGGGGAAATGCAAGGAAGCTTGAGAAGGAGCAGCCAGACCAAAGGAAGGCAGAGAGTAACTGGCCAAGTCAGATGTGACAAATGGGTCATGAAAGCTAAAGCTTGAGAATTTAGTCACTGATAATCCAGAAGAGCAGTTTCAGTGGACAGAAGAGGGTGATATCTAACTGGAGTGGACTGAGAGGTACTAAGTATACACAGCTCTGTAGAGCTTTGTTGTGAAGGGTATAGTGATTGTGGAGTGGGAAGGGAGGAAAGGGAATTTTTCTAGGTGGGAGAAATTCTAATGGAATGTTTCTATGCTGTTGAAGACTGGGAAGTCATGAAGAGGGGGATCAGTTTGTAGAAAACAGAATTGGTAGAGTCAATTTCTTGATAGGTGAGGGGATGAAATTAGTGCAGGTGTGGAGCCCTTCAGTTGGGAGCTTAGTTCATAGAACAGAGAGGGAGGTAGATATGAGGAAACAAATGGAGGCAGTTGCCTAAGTGTCATGTGGAAAGAAGTTTGTTCCCAGTTGCTTTTTTTTCTTTTTTTCTCCCAATGAAACAGAAGCAAAATTGTTGATCGTTGGTGAAGAGAGAAGGCTTGAAGAGGAATGAAATCCTTACCTGTCACCATCTAAGCTGTTACTGAATCTGGAATCTTAGAGTCTGCTTCCAGAAAAAGTGGTAATCACAGGCACGGAGGAAGATAGCTAAGGGTCCTAAAGGATCTGTGTGCAGACTTTTAAACATCGATTCAAATCTTGTATCTTACTGTCTCAGCTAATAAAATAACAAACAGTTATGTAAGGGAGGGAAGATTTACTGTGGCTTATCGTTTCAAATACTCCAGTCTGTGGCTTTTTGGTCTGGGACAAGACAGAAACACCATAGTGGCAGGGCATGGCAGAGGAAAGCTGTTCACTTTTGGCAGTGAGGAAGTAGAAAGCAAGAGGGAGAGAGGAAAGGAGGGGCCTGGGGCAAGATAAACCGTTCAAGGCAGGACCCCTAGTGACACCTTCTTGTAACTAGGCTTCACCTTCTAATCTTTCAGCTTTGAATACATCAGTGGTTTAATCATTGATGAAGTTAGAGCCCTCTGACCCAGTCACCTCAAACAGTGGTAGGACTAAGCCTCTATGGAGCCTTTGGGGCCATTTCATATCCAAACAGTAGCACCTGTGTCTGATACTGTCATTGTACTTCCTACAGTGAAAATTGAACTACTTTGTGTAGAAATCCTCTTCTTCAGACCTCAAGAAGTGTTTCTGTCAACTGCAAGGTTCTCTTGAGTTAGCTGAACACTTTGAAGGAACTGGTTGAATTGTCCATCCATTGCTGTCTCTTTCATTCACTTTATTGTTTCCTTATTTCTTCACTTTCTTTTTTTAAAATATTATTATTTTTATTTTATGTGTACGAGTGTATTACCTCCATGTGTGTGAGTGTACCCGTGTCATGCAATGCTGTGGACATCAGAAGAGGGCTTCAGATTCCCCTAAAACGGGAGTTAAGGACGGTTTGTAGCCACCATGTGAATGCTGGGAATTGAACCCAGGTCCTCTGCAAGAGCAGTCAGTGCTCTTAACCACTAAGCCATCTCTCCAGCCCTCTTCAGTTTCATTTTACTGGGATTTCAGGAGGAACAGGATACAGATGAGTGTCTTCGGCTCTCCCCTTTGAGGAGAAATAGGAAACTTGTTTCAGCTGTTAATAATTTTAGGTTATGGAGCTGGAGTGATGGCTCAGTGGTTAAGAGCACTGGCTGCTCTTGAAGAGGTCGCAGTTTGGTTCCCTTCATTCACACGGAGGCTAACAAATATCTGTAACTTCAGTTCCAGGGCCTCCGATGCCCTCTTCTGACCTCCTCAGACATTGCATGATATGGGTGCACTTACACACATGTAGGCAGTACACTTATACACATAATTAAAAATAAAAAATAATTTTAGCCTAGAAAATAAAAGATTTTTAATACTGCTGTCATTTCCTTAATATGGGTCAATTCCTTCACCCACTATTTGTAACATTAAAACTTGATAGTGTTTATATATTGTGGCTTCCATTGCTACCAATTAAATGCCAGTTACTCAGTTTTTTATTGAATGCCAAGCTTGTAATTTAGAGGAAGCTAAAACTCCTTAATACCATCAATCCATAATTTTTCTTTTGAGGCCATATAACCTCATGGAGGGGGTGGAGGGACAGAGAAAGGAAAACAGTAAAAGAGTAAAGTTGTGCAGAGATTTTCCTAGTAACCACTTATGAAAAGAAACCAAACAAAAGTTAATAGGCCAGATATTTTATGCAATACAATTGGGAAATGATTAAATAATTCTAGCAGTGTAACAAAGTATCCAAACAAATACATAAATAAATACTTGTGTATATGATTTTTTTCAAAATTATTTTTTAAAATTTTATGTGGATGTGTGTATTGCCTGCATGTAAGTAGGTACACCCGTATCGTGCAATGCCCGTGGAGGTCAGAAGAGGCTGTCAGATCCCCTGGGACTGGAGTTACAGACAGTTGTTAGCTGCTATGTGGGTGCTGGGATTTGAACCCAGGTCTTCTGCAAGAACAACCAGTGTTCTTAACCTCTGAGCTATCTCTCCAGCCCTCGTGTATATGATGTTAAGTAGAAAAATGTAGAATGTGGGATGGAGAGATAAGACTGATTTTTTTTTTTTTTTTTTTTTTTGGTTTTTTTGAGACAGGGTCTCTCAGTAGCTATAGCTGACCTGGAACTTGCTAATGTAGACCAGTCTAGCTCAATCTCACAGGGATCAGCTTGCCTCTGCCTCCTGAATTCTGGGATTAAAAGAATGCACTACCATGTCCACCTTAAAATAAGTATTTAAGAATTATTTTTTTAAAAGATTTTATCAGAGGATGGAGAAATGACTCAGTGGGTATAAGAACTTCCTGTGCAAACGTGAATACCTGGGTTTGAATCCCCAACACTCATATAAAAAGCCAGATATGTTTTTGCATGCCTATACTCCCCTACCCCATTGGGGAGCAGAGATAGGTAAATCCTGGGAGGGAGCTTTCTGGCCAAACCTTTCTCAAAAGCAATAAGGCAAGGAGCCCTAGAAGAAGATACCTGACATCCTGTTCTGGCCTCTGCATGCTCACCATGGTCATGCACACTGGCACACTCACCGCACATATCACACACAGAATAATATATACTTAATGTAAAATTAACACTGGCCTAACGCCCATCCAGTATAAACCTAGTAGAAATTATAAGATTAAAATCTGCACACTTTCCCTGAGTTCATACCTTAGAGGTTGTCACTCTAATAGTTTGTTGTGACTGATTTTACTACTCAATATGTTTTACATCAGCACTTCACTGTAAGACTGGTAAGACTTCCTTGAATCAAAAAGTCTTATCTAGTGCATTGGAGCTGCTCTAACAAAATGCCATAAACAGTGGCTAATAAGTAACAGAAGGCTATCTTCCAGTTTTGGGGATTGGAAAGTGGTTTTAAGAAGGGCTTGTGTGGTTGTGCTCACATGGTAGAAGAGGCGAAATGAGTTCCTTTGCTGCAGCTGCTGCTTTTTCTCTGTTTTTTTTTTTTTAATTTAATTATTTTTATTTAATTAATTAATTAATTTTTTTTTCCGTATTTTTTGAGACAGGGTCTCCATGTAGCCCCAGCTGTCCGGAAACTCGCTATTTAGACCAGGCTGGCCTTGAACTCACAGAGATCCGCCTGCCTCTGCCTCCTGAGTGCTGGGATTAAAGGCGTGTGCCACCACGCCCGGCTATTTTATTTTTTATATGTATGTGTGTATTGCCTGCATGTAGGTAAGTGCACCCATGTTGTGCAATGCCCACAGAGGACAGAAGAGGCTGTTGGATCCCCTGGGACTGGAGTTACGGACAGTTGTTAGCTGCCATGTGGGTGCTGGGATTCGAACCCGGGTCTTCTGCAAGAACAGCTAGTGTTCTTAACTGCTGAGCCATCCCTCCAGCCCGTTTTTTTTTTGTTGTTTTTTAATATCTTTTCAGACAAGGCCTCATATAGCCCAGGCTGGCTTTGAACTCACTGTGCAGCTAAGGGTGGCCTTGAACCCCTCATCTTCTTGCCTCGAACTCCCAAGTGCTGGGATTACAGGTGTGTTCAGCCAGCCTTCCTGCCTCTGAGTATACTAATTCTGGTCATGCAGGAGGCTGTCCTCTTACCCAAACTGCCTCTACTTCTTGAGTGTTAGGATTGTAGGCACATGTCAACATTTCTGGCTTTCCATATATAAACTATAAAAACAGAAACAGACCACAACAATCATACTGTATTTTGCCAAATTCTTTGTTTTGCTTTGTTTTGAGATATGGTATTGCTATGTAGCACTATCTAGCCTTGACCTTGAGAGAGCCTCCTCCTTCAGCTTCCTGAATGCTGGGCTTATAGGTCTAGGCCATCATACCTGACTTTTGTTTATTATTTGACTAGAAAGAACCTGCTTATTTTAGGAATTATGTATTGTAAGCTAAACAATGATCTTTTTTTTTTTCATTTTTTATAGCCAAACCAGATGGGACCATATATAGATTCAGAATAATAGAAACAAAAAAATGTACTTGATACAGGTACTGAGGCAATAGCTCAGTTGGTAAAGTGCTTGTCAAAGAAGTACAAGGACCTATGTTTGCTCTCTAGCACACAAGAAGAGCTGGGCATGGCAGAGCTCATTTGTAATCCCAGTCAGGGGAGGCAGAAGCAGGAGAATTCCTGGAGTTCACTGGACAGTTAGTTTAGCTTAATCAATTAGACTCAGGTCCTAGTGAGGGATTTGTCCCCCTGAAACAAAGGCAGAGACTGGGCATGTCCCACTACTCAGGAGGCAGAGACAGGCAGATCTCTGAGTCTGAGGCTGGTTTGGTCTACATAGTTCCTGGTCAACAGAGTAAGACCCCATCTCAAAAAACAGGAAACCAAGGCAGAGAGTGATTGAGGAAAACACCCGATGTGACCTCTGGCTTCCACATGGATGTGCACATATGTGCACATGCACTCACATACAGGTGCACCTGTACCCACATGTATACCCACACATATACATATATACACAAAAAGAAAAAGCATATTTAATTTTTGATACAGATCAGCTATTAAATTCTTAGACTACTTTTTGAAACATTGACAGGAAGAATACTAAAGCAGTTCTTTTCTATGCAAAGGGCCCATCATTTTTGTTTTAATATAGAAGTAATTCCTCATATTTATTTCTGGTGGGGGGCGGGCTATGGGAAGGGGCCAATGAGGAAGTGAGTGTAAAGATTATTAAGATATTCAGCATGAGGTACACAAAAACTCAATAATTTTTTTTAAAATAATAAAATATTGGAAAAAAACAAAAAATTCCTCAAAGTCGTCAAATTGGAAAGCCATTTTTACAGTTCTGTTTAACTCATTTAAACACATTAAACTTCTAAGATATATGATAATTCATTCTACTAAGTCATTTTAAAATTCTTTTCATTAAGGCTTCCCGACAAGCTGCAGGAATTCCAGGGATTACACCAACTGAAGAAAAGTAAGTAATTTTTAAATAGAGCAACTCTTCCTTTTTGGTATTAAAACAATATTTTCTTTTTCCTTTCAATGGTGCTGGAGACAGAACACAAGACCTCAAGCAAGTTAAGCAAGTGCTGTGCTTTCCTCAGCCCTAGACTATATATTTTAGATGACTCTCATAAATTCCTTTGTTACTTCAAGTTTATCTCTCTGCATGCCACCTAAACTTTCTTAAGACCTGAAAGAAGGCTGTATGTTAATTGCTTTCGCTTTCTCTTTGCTAGAGAATGCTAAAAGTAGGACAGAATTAAGATAGAAGGAAAGGAAAACAACCTGTCATCGCTAATCTTAGGATTTCTTCAGGCTGTGGGGACACCCATCACTAAGTAGAAGAAGCATTATAAAAGCTGAGTAGTTGTCCAGTCCTCTACCAGGCCTTCCTTGTGTGGCTTTCTTATTTGGTTTTGAGGTGTCATGAATTCTCAAAATTCTCAGAAAAATCCATATCTAAATGCAACCATAGAAATAACAATATGAGGTTGGAGAGGTGGCTCATCAGTGAAGAGCACTGGCTACTCTTGCAGAAAATCTGGGTTTCTGGGTATATGTGACCAGTACCCACATGGCAGCTAACAACTGTCTGTAATTTCAGTTCCTTGGGATCTGATGCCCATTTCTGTCCTCAGGCATTGCACAACACAGGTGCACTTACATTTTAGGCAATACACTCATACACATAAAATAAAAATAAATGAAAAAAATTTTAATATTTTATTATTTTTATTTTATGTGTATGAGTGTATTGCCTGCATGTATGTGAGTGCATCTGAGTCACGCAATGCCACAGAGGTCAGAAGAGGGCTTCGGATTACCCTGGAACTGGAGTTAAGGACTATTCGTAGCCACCATGTAGGTGCTGGGAATCGAACCTGGGTCCTCTGCAAGAGCACTCAGTGCCCTTAACCACTGAGCCATCTCTCCAGCCCCCAAAATGAAAATTTTAAAAAGAAATAGCAATATGGTGAATGTAATCGAGCTTGGAGTTTTACAATTATTTCAGTTTTATGAACCTCCACCTTTCATCTATTGACACAGTTAACTCAGTGTCAACCGTGGTTTTTCTGATCTTTTCTGAGTTCAATTGATTGTATTAAATGTTGTTCTTTTATCAGAGATGGTAATCTTCCAGACATTGTGAACAGTGGAAGTTTGCATGAGTTCCTCCTTAATTTGCATCAAAGATACGGGCCTGTGGTCTCTTTCTGGTTTGGCAGGCGCCTTGTGGTTAGTTTGGGCACTGTTGATGTTCTGAGGCAGCATATCAACCCCAGTAAGACCTGTAAGTTAACTTTTCTTTTTACTTAGTTGATCCTTATCTTTGAAGAATGTTTATAAAGAAGGAATTATATAGTGCTCTTGAATAGGAACAGCTAATATTTATAGGATGCTTTGTACTGTGTGTTAGGCATTGTATTAAAATCTTATTACCTCATTTAATAAGGTCCAAGATTGTAAAGTTAAGAATTTTTCTTTAATTTATAAATACATATTACAGACCTACTATAAATTACAACAGGATGTTTTTTTAGGGGGGGAACCTGAGAAAATAGTTCCAGAGTACATCTGGAAGAGTTACTATATATGAGCAACCAAGAAAGGACTAAAGAGTATTAATGACAGAAATGCCTGTATTGTCACATAGTACAGTATAATCTAAAGGGTTAGAGTAGTAAGTAGTGGGTGGACAAGTGCATTTGATGAAGGTTACATTTTTGAACATGATAAAAGACTATAGGGGCTGGAGAGATGTCTCAGCAGTTAAGAACACTGGCTGTTCTTGCAGAAGACCCAGGTTCGAATCCCAGCACCCACATGGCAGCTAACAACTATCCATAATTCCAGTTCCAGGGGGTCCGACAGCCCCCCTGGGCATTTCACGACATGGGTGCACTTACCTATATGCAGGCAATACACACAACACATAAAAATAATAAATAAATATTTTTTTTAAAGACTGTAAATGTTTCTTGAGTAGTATTTAGAAAAAAATTAATCTTAATCCCTGTCTTATTTTTTGTATCAAAGTGAATCTCAGGGCTGGGAAAAGGACTCAGTTGGTAAAGTTCTTAATGATATTTAAGCATGAGGACCCAAGTTCAATCCCCAGAGTCCTTAAAAAAAAGCTGGGTGTGGTCAGTCCCAGGCCTGGAGAGGTAGAGACAGACAGATTCCCAGGGCTCACTGACCAGGCAGCCTAGCTAAATCGGCAAGCCCCAGGCCAGTGAGAGACCCTCTCTCAATAAACAAGGTAAATGACTCCTGAGGAGTAACAACAGAGGCTGACCTCTGGTTTCTACATGTGCATGTGCACCTGCATGCCTGAACACACATGCACATATATCAAAAATAAAAAAATAGCCAGCCATGGTGGCACACGCCTTTAATCCTAGTACTCAGGAGTCAGAGGCTGGTGGAGTGCTCTGAGTCTGAGGCCAGCCTGGTCTATATAGTGAGTTCTAGACCAGCTGGGGCTACATAGTGAGAGACTATGGCTCAAAACAAAACAAAACTAGCTGGGGCTACATAGTGAGACCAAAACAACATAAAAATAAATAAATACATTTCAAATAATTAAGTCATTAAAATAATAGAAGAAAACATGGTTAAATAGTTAAATTGTCTTATAGTGACTCGAGATTTTAGGAACCAGAATGCCCAAGGTAAATAAATTTGTCTAGTATAAAAATAGAAATTTCTAGGCCTGGGAATGTAGCCCAGTGATAGAGCACTTTGCCCAGCATTGATGAAGCCATCTATAGATTAAACCTCAGAACTTTAATAAAAGATGGTTTTCCTCAATACACTTAAAACAAATAAACAAAAAACATTGAAAAGAATGGATGAGATCTGGGAAAGTATTGGCCACACATTACTACACGTAGTGTATAATAAGTGATTACTGTATTTCTGTTAAATAGATAACATGAATATGTTTAAAAAAGAAATGAAAGGGGACCAACAGCGGAGAAAAATACATCTTGGGGCTGAGTGGGGAGGAGAGAAAAAAAGAGGATAATAAAATATATATGGCAAGAACACAAGGGGGTCACTGTGGGGAGGATGGTGACATCAGGAGCAGAACAGGGGTGGGGGAGGGGAGGAGCAACAAGAATTAAGTGTGTATGAAATCCATTACTTTGTATACTAGTTTTTAAAAGTAATAAGAGAAATGAATGAGAACTGTTTACTCTTCAGTTATATATATGTATATATGTGTGTATATATACAGACTTTGGGGGTACTTGGAGGGGGGTAATAAGGGATGGATATGATTATGCTTCACTGTATGTGTGTATGTATGAAGTTCTCAAGAATAAAGAAAAATTAATAAAATACATAGTAAAAAATGATAAGAAAATTAAAATGCCCTTATAGAAAATAATGGACCAAAAACTAATGCTTTGTTAAGAAGGAAGAGACACAAATAGCCAGTAAACAGCTGAAAAACATTCAGCCTCACTGATATTACTTAATTCACATTGAAAACTTCATAAAGAAAATATTATGAGTCAAGGGTTCTATAAAAACAAGGGTTTTATAGAAGAGAAAACTGAGGTACATAGAGGTTAAGTCATTTGCTTAAAGTCATACAATTAATGGAGCAGGAACTTGAAACCAGGCAATCCGACTCCAGATTGTGCTGATTTCTGTCACTTAACTCTGCAACATGCAAAAATGACCCTTTCAGAAAGCTCAATGAGTAAAGTGAAGCATGAGCCCTTCAGAATTCTCAGTGTAAGGCTTGGTTACTGAGGGAAGAGGTGAATGTTGTTCAAGTCACCACACTGATGAGCTAAGAGGAATGTTCTAAAACAAGGGAATGCAGTTCTTTGTGAAATTGGACAGAATTTTCTGTATCTGTTAAGAAATGATGACAGGGGTCTAGAGAGATGGCTCAGTGGTTAAGAGCGCATACTACTCTTGCAGAGACCTGAGTTTGGTTCCCAGTACCCATGTGGCAGCTCACAACCACACATCATAAAAAATAAATCTTTATTAAAAAAGAATACTTGATTTAAATGTGGGGGGTGCTGGAGAGTTGACTCAGCAGTTAAGAGCACTGACTGCTCTTGCAGAGGATCTAGGTTCGATTCCCAGAACCCACATGACAGTTAACAACTATCCTAACACCAGTTCCTGGTGATCTGACATCCTCTGCTAACCTCTGTGGACATTGCATGACCGGGTTGCACTTTCTCACATGCAAGCAATGCGCTTATATGTGTAAATAAAAATAATAAGCCGGGCATGGTGGTGCATGCCTTTAATCTCAGCACTTGGGAGGCAGAGGCAGGCGGATTTTTGTGAGTTCAAGGCCAGCCTGGTCTACATAGTGAGTTCCAGGACAGCTGGGGTTACAGGGAGACTCTGTCTCAAAAAGACAAAAAATAAATAAATAAAATGTTTCTTATAAAAAAGAAGAGATGATGACCACTATAAAAGTCTTCACTGAGTATCTTTAATCCCAGCACTCAGGAGGCAGAGGCAGGTGGATCTCAAGGCCAGCCTGGCCTACATAATTCCAGGCCAGCTGGGCCTACAGGGAGACCCTGTCTCAAAAAAAAAAAAGGATGTTAACAGTGAATGAGATTTAGGGTGAGTTTTACTTTATATTTTTTTGTGTTGCTTAAATTGTTTTTAGTAACACGTATGCAAATAGTACAGCCATTAAAGGAATAGAGAAAGGAGAAGAAAACTAAACTCAGATGGCTAACTTGAAAATAACACACAAACTTACCCATTTTGCTTTAAAATTAGTGGAAAGGACTTTTCATTGGTAGTCATGTGTAATCATATAGGTAGAAATTTTATGCACATATTAATGACTGACAGTGGAATTCTAAGTCAGGTTGGTTTTGCCAGTTTTCATTGACTCTTAAATTATTCAGATTTAGCCAGGCGTGGTGGCGCATGCCTTTAATCACAGCACTCAGGAGGTGAGGCAGGCAGATCTCTGTGAGTTCAAGGCCAGCTTGGTCTACATAGTGAGTTCTAGGACAGCTGGGGCTACGGGGAGACCCTGTCTCAAAAAGACCAAAAAAAAAAAGAAGAAATTCAGATTTATGAAAGACTATTAGCAGTGTTGTGAAGAAATTGGCTGTGTTCTCAGCTGTCATCCTTTACCTCTTTGATCTCTGTTCTCTTGTTGGATTTTTTTTCCTTTTGAATGATTAATTTAGAAATACTGAATCTGTATTTCAGTGGACCCTTTTGAAACTATGCTAAAGTCACTCCTAAGGTATCCATCTGGTGGTGGGAGTGTGCGTGAAAGCCACATGAGGAGGAAACTGTATGAAAATGGTGTGACTAATTCTCTGCAGAGCAATTTTCCTCTCCTGCTGAAGGTAAGGTGGTAAGAGGTTTAGTGTGGTCTCTTGCAATGTTGATAATAGTATTTATGGTGCATTTTAAACCGTTGATGTATCTTGCACTTGTTACTCTTTTCTTACCTGTTTTTCAAGCTGATTTTTTATTCTCCTGAAAATTTAAAACAAAACAAACAAAAGCAAACACAAAACCAAAAGGAAAACAAAAGTCTTACTGTGTAGACTCACGGTAAGTTAGAATGATGGAAATAGAGAAATACGAAGTTTTTCTCTGCTAGTTGATTTTTTTTCATTGTTTTCAGGACAGACTCTGTGCATATATGTATGTGTGCGTGCACATGTGTGTGAGAGTGTATGTGCATATGTGTGTGGACACCAGAGGTTGATGATGTGTGTCTTCCTTGATCATTTTCCACCTTATATACTGAGACAGGGTCTCTTGCCAAACATGGAACTGGCTGATTTAGCTAGTCTAGTTAGCCAACTTGCTTCAGAGGTCTGCTGTCTCTGCCCACTGAATGATGGGATTAAAAGTAGGCCGCCACTCCTGTCTGACATTTGTTTGGGTTCTGGGGATCCAAATTGAATCTTCACACTCTATTCACTGAGCCAACTTCCTATCCCATTAAGCCAGACTCTTAAGCCAATGTTTCCTAAAGCATGATACAAGACACTCTTTTGCTAAAAGTATAGATTATTGGGCCCTGCTTGGATATCCTGAATCACTGGGAGGGGAGCCTGACATCCTGAGGAAGTTTTGCAAGTACAAAGTCTGAGTACAGTACCAATCTATACTGTATTATTCAGTTTTGTTGCTGTGGCACAGTATCAGAGAAGAAAACTAAGGGAGGAAGGGCTTATTTTGGTTGATGGTATAAGCGATTTCAGCCCATGACTCGTACCATTGCTCTTAGGCCTGTGGCAATACAGAGGCATCATGGTGGAAAGGCACGGTGAAAGAAAGCTGCTAGTGTGATGATGATGGCAGCTATGAAGAAGAGAAGGACAAGACGGGCCAGGGACAAGACACACCTTCACAGACACACTCCTGGTGACCTACTTCTAATCAGTCTCTGCCTCACAATAGCCCATTCAGTATGAACTTAGTAATAGATTAGCCCATTCATAAATTTAGTGCCCTCATGATCCAGTCACTTCTCCATAGTGCCACTAACTGGGGACCAAGCCTTCAATACATGAACTTTCTGGGAGGACATTTCCTATTCAAACTATAACACAAACTATTTCCCTTATGTTGCTAAAGGTCCTGTGTATTACCAGACTGCTCTGTGTCTCCACAGATGTTTTTGCTTCCTGCTTTGCTGAGATTAACATCCCTAACATGTTAGCTCCCTCCCATTTCTAATCCTTTACCAACAAACCCTATCCACGTCAGAACTTTCTCTTGATTTTAAATCTTAAGGAATCCATTTTTCTTTCTCTTTCCTTTTTCCCCTCCTCCCTCTACCCTTTGCAGTGCTGCTATTAATCCAGGGGCCTCACACATCATAGGTAAGTGCTCTGCTGCCTAACCCTAAGAATTCTTCCTTTGTCCAGAGACTACCTACCCATCTTTGCCCTTTTAAAGTAATGTAATTTATAAAAGTAAGATATGTGAATACTACAGAAAATATGGAAAAGCTAACCGTATAAAGAAACCACAACTTCACCATATATATGTACATATATTACTGTGTACTATTGGGATCATAGGAAGATGGTGAGTTTGAAGTTAGACTAGGCAATTTATGAAAACTCCTGTCTCAGAAAATAAACAAATGAATGCAGTTGAGCGATTGATTAGTCAGCAAGGAGGACTTGCTACCTTAAAATACATTGTGTGCTTCATGTCGCCAAGTGAAGACTCTTGGCTTTTTGGTGTTTTTGGTCCAGACCTGCGTTTTGTGGTCTAATGACTGATCTTGACTTGATCCTGTATGTTCCAACTCCTTCCTGTCCTGACCATCTTTGCCTCGAGGCTGTGTATAAAGCTACATTTTAATTCTGAGAGTGTACTTTCTCTCTTCTGTGTTTTCATACTATTTTTTTTCTGTGACTTTGGGCCATATTCTAATAAAGCAAGTACTTTCTGGATTTTAGAATTTATGACTATTGTCCAGACTCTCCTTAACTGATAGAATAGTAAAAATATATGTAGCCAAAATTGTTAATTGATTTAGCAGCTTATATTAACTTCATTTATTCTTCAAGACTTTTATAGATAAGTAACGTTTTCTTCCCCTTTTTACAGATGAAGAAACAAAATGGTTAAGTAGCTTGTTCAATATCATACAACTAATAAATAGTAGGATTAAGATTTGATATCATTGATATCAAGCAGTTTGCTATCAGACAGAGCTTATGTACTTATCCACAGGCTAAGTTGCTTCTCTGTAACTTGGTTCTCCTCCCCTGGGATGTAGCTTTGCTTGGATAATTTTATTATATGTTCTTAGTATCACAGTTAATATCCTAATGCGAGGTGGAATTAAAATCACTTGCTTCAAAAAAATCACTTCTTTCAAATATTAATAATCTCACAATAATTAATAAATACCTAAAGATTTTTTGAAAAAGAAACTGTGTATTTTTTCTGAATAACTCATATGTATTCCAAAATTCTATATGTTAAGGCTGGCTATCATGGTGCATGCATGTAATACTAGCACTTGGGAGGCAGGGGCAGGAGGAGGGTTGAGAATTTGAGGTCAGCTTGGGCTACATAGTGAGACTCTTGTTTCAGCAAACAAACAACAAATAAATTCTAAATCTTACCTGTTGAATTTAGGACTGCCTCCAGGTATAACTTCAGGTTTCTTTTTCTGTCATACAATGTTAATGTTAGTCAAAATTACCATAATATTTTAATGTGGTCATCCTGAAGATGCCTGTAAGTCATTGTATCCTTATTTAGAATGCATGATTAATAGGCACACGTTTGGAGGTTTTAAGTTTACGTATTACATGTATGTGATTTATATCATATAAGGATAGCTGGTAACAGTATTGCAGCATAGGCATTCTCCTGTTATTCAGTCACTGAAACCAGTTGGCAACTCTGCCATTCATGTAAATGTACATTGATCACACATGACGCAGCTTGAGGAGAGATTTAAAAGATGTATATTAGGAAAGGGAAACATTTGTCTTCTTGTTTGACATTTGTGCTAATAGAAAATTAATGTGTAATGCTGAATTAGCAAATGAGGCTCATTAGAACTGTTACCTGTACTAACCAGCATTCACACACTAAAAGGGATTCATATAATCTAGCAATACACCAGATTTGCTTGCCTAGAGAACAGACAATGCTATGTGAGTCAGTTGTAATATTTGCATAATTTTGCCGAGTACTACAAAACAAATGGATCAATGAACAAATCCCAACTCAAATTGTGATATAAAGAAAACTTGTTTTAAAAGAAACAAGTTTTTTTTGTTTCTTTGTTTTTTGTTTTTGTCTTTTTGAGACATGATTTCCCTGTAGCCCCAGCTGCCCTGGAAGTCACTATGTAGACTAGGCTGGCTTTGAACTCACAGAGATCCTCCTGCCTCTGCCTCCCAAGTGCTTGGATTACAGACGTGACATCACACCGAGCATAAAAGAAACAAGTTTTTTGAAACAACTCAACTTGTTTTAAAAGAGAAAAGAAAAGAAAAGCGAAAGACTACCAACATAGTTGTGTAACTGACCTGTACATCACTGAAAAACTAGCCATGTGAAAAAGCTCTTTCACAATGTTAAGAAAAAGGTAAATCCCAGTAAAAAGGTAATCCCAAAAAATGGTTAAAGAAGTAAGCATTTACCACACAGAGGAAAATGTAAATGGCCATTAAATACATGAAACGTGTCTAATTTGTACTAGTAACTAAGGACAAAGTTAAGTCGAATGAATTAATGTTGAGATTTTAAATTGTTATTTATTTTTATTTAATGTGTACGTGTGTTTTGCCTGCATGTATGGAAGTGACCTGTGCATGCAGTGCTTATAATGGATGCCAGAAAAGGGCATCAGATCCCCTGGAAGTGGAGTTACTAGTGGTTATTAGCTGCCATGTGGGTGCTGGGAACTTAATAGGCATGTTTGGAGAACTGAACCCAGCTACAAGAGTAGCCAGTGCTCTTACTGCTGAGCCATCGCTCCAGTTCCAATTCCTTGAATTATTAAGAACAATAGGGAGATTAACATTTTTTCCTACATAGTTATCTAGTTAACACAGCATAAGTTATTGAAAAGACTTCTTTCTCCATTGTACTGTAATATTACCCTTATCATACATCAATTCTTAAGTAGTTTGGGGCAGGCATGCGTGCGTGCGTGTGTGCGTGGCGTGTGCATGTGTGTGTGTGTATTTGAGATAGTCCAACATTGAACGTTGGATCCTCATGCTTCAGTCTTCTAAATGCTACTATTACAGGGATGAACCACTACCCTTGACTATTTACTGTGTTTTTCATGCTATCACAAATGATACTGCTTTTTAAATTTTTCTGTGTGTGTCTTTTTGTGACAGAGTCTCACTGTAGCCCCAGCTGGCCTTGGACTCAAATAGATCTGCCTGTCTCTGCCTCCCGAGTGCTGGGATTCAAGGCAGGTGCTACCATACTAAATTTTACTTTTTTTCTGTTGCAGGTATGTACAATTTACTTTTGCATATTAACCTCATAGTAACTCTGATGGAGTCTCTTACTAACTCTAGTGGTTTATCATGGTATTTGCAATTTATAAGTTATTTCTCCTTTTCTAATTTTAATAGCTTTCATGTCTTTGCATGTTTTAGTTGGCAGATATTCTGCTACATTTTGAATGACTTTGGGATCAATAGTACATTCTTATTCTCTCTCTCTTTCCCCCTCTCTTTTTCTTTTTCTTTTTTTGAGACAGGGTCTCATTCTGTAGCCCAGGTTGCCATGGAACTCGCTGTGTAGCCCAGGCTGACTGTTCAATTTATGGCAGTCATCTTGCCTCAGGTTCTTGGAATGCTGAGATTATAGATGTGATCCACCATGCCTGACT